ACGCTCATATTTATAATTCCAAACAATCAGTAAGCGACAGGTGCTAGGAAACGCTGTTTTGTACTCATTTATTGACGAGTCGGCTGTGGTGCGGCCAACTGAATGCGCTGCTTCTCTGCCGCTCACTGCACAGAACAGACGCCGAGAGAGGTGACACTTCTCCGGGAAAGTCAGACCTCGCGTTCGCGGGACAGCACTGGCGAAATCTTCCAACTGAACCATAGCTAAGGTTTATCCAAAAAAGTCGCTAGGTTTGTCAGTATGAATATTCTATGGAAAAAAGCCGCTAAAAGGGTCTGAAAGTTGCTAAATCTAGTGTTAAAGTCACACTCGTGTGTGTGAGACGCGGGAGCTGATGGCAGGGGGCGGTGGATATTTGTGGCGGTCAGTGTGGATATTGTGGATGAGTTCTTCTGTGTCATCACGTTCTATTAGTTCTACAGCTTCAGTTTCGGAACTTTCACGCTTAGTAACACAGCTGTTCCCTCACTACAGTGCAACAGTGAAAAGGGACCCCTTTCAAACAGTGTCGCGTTCCGAACATTGTTTAAGCGACATGCCTTTCTTTTTGCGGTATTTTAAAAATTCATATCATAACAAAAATAAACACCGGTATTCGGTATGAACCAGTATACCGCCCAGCACTACATTAAGGGATTACTAACATTAACATCATACATTTCTGTAGCTGTTTTAAAACTGTATTATGAAGTGTGCTTTAGTGTCACATGGTCCTTCAGAAAACATTCTAAGAACTCTTTGGAGCTCAGGAAACATTTCTCATTATCAATGTTAAAGACTGTTGTGCGGCTTATTTATATTATTATTTTTTTTTTTTCAGGATCCTTTTATGAATAGGAATTGCTTCAAAAGACCAGCATATATTTGAAACATATCTTGTAACATGTAAAGAAAAAAACTTACATTTATTTTAATTTAACATCCTGTGTAAAATGGCCTTACCATTCATTGTGGTTTAATTGAAAAAGATTTTGCCCTCCATGTATACGTTTATTACAGTGACATCCACTTGAGGTCAGATCAGACATTAATACCAGGTGTACACAGAGTCTCTGTAACTGGAAATCAAGTCTCACCATACCCCCCGTTCACGGCTGCTCGTGGCTTTCCTATTTGCTTCAATTGCTGTAAATTCTTCCCTTCAAATTCAAACCTCTGCCTTTTTCTATGCACCTAGACATTTAACCTTTATCCAGATAGACCTAATGTACTACCAAGGAGTGTTATATGTGCTTTAGCCACATAACTTTGACATCTTTAAAGAAAAGTGTCAGGAATGTGTAAAGATTTTCCAGGCTGAGTCTTTACCTGGAGTGCGAGTTTGTCCAGTGGCACTGTAGCATCCATTAGGGATGCACCGAATGTTCGGCAACCAAATAAGCGAAAAGACCAAATAAATTGTACCAAACAATGACATGACGCGATCAAATAGCAACCAGAGCAGAGTGAGAGGCGCACACTCTTTATAATGCAACAAACATGTCAGCACAGCAGTGTGGAAGCATTTAAAACTGTCTGAGAAAGATGCAAAAATCATTACAAGCACCGACAGCGAGAGACTGTTTAGTACTGCAGCGCATGTCTTCGATGAGAAGAGGAAGGGATGATTGTTGCTGGTTACTGTATGATGATTGAAATTGTGAAATGGCCTTAAACAATTAGTAAATAAACTGCAGAACGTTATGTTTTCACACTCGAATTGCATGTATTCTGACAGCGCTGCACGAACTCGCGGCGGATCTGCTTGTTAACCAGGGTTCAAAGTCCAAAGCGCAAGGAAAATCTGCGCTGAACCAGTGTTACTCGTCAGTTGCTCAGTCACATTTATGAATTTTTACAAGGCATGTGACAATGCAATACGTGCAACATATTCGTAATGAGACTCGTGCACAAAAAGAAGCACTGAGGTCTTCCTGCGTGTTTCAGCCAAAATAAAAGTTGAGAAAAAGCAAGAACTCCATCAACATTCATAAATGTTAGTAGTGTAATTTTACTGTTGTGCTGTAAAATAAAATAAAAAGTAAGACAATAATAATGATAATAATCATTACAACAGCTCTGTCATTTATTATAACATTCACACATTGTGTTCAAATTGGGATCTGTAATATTTTCTAATGTTTTAAAAAGTTTCTTCTGCTCAGCAAGGCTGCATTCATTTAAAAAATACACGCCTTTTTCAAGAAGAGGGTCTGATGGACAAAAAATATTATTTTACTAACTTATTCATTTTAAGTTAAATTGTGCTTTGTTGGTATAGTGTCTGCTAGAATGTTAAAAAATGTTAAGTGTTAAATATTTTTAAATGATTGTTTTGTAATTGATTTTTTCTGTGAAAAGCAAGACAAAATAGTAAAAAGCAAATTTTGGCTATTTAATTTATGCAGTGGTGAAAAAAATGGGCAAAATACATGGGGAAAAAAAACTAAAAAAAACGTATTCGGCTTTCAGCCCAGTGTTTCATTTTTTTTCGGCTTCGGCCAAGAATTTTCATTTCGGTGCATCCCTAACATCCATGTCTCTCTGTCTCTGACTGTACCTCCTCCGGGCCCTATTCTGAACACATTCTTGGTGACACTGACCAAGCCTGCTCTACACGGCTCCTGGACTGGATTGTTCATAATGCTTTAGACAACCTGCTGTGTGAAATCTGAACTTTATCCCCCATTATATTTTATTTTTGTACTTGTATGTCTGTAACGTGTTTTATGTGTGATTTTTTTTTAGAGTGTACCTCACAACTAAAGGGCTTCCCGGTGGTGTTGCACTTATGGTTTCCTCCATAGAGTCTTAAATGGCCATTAATATTTTAGTCCAGCCCAGTCCAGCTCTGTAAAAGCTGTGTGTTGCATGAGTATGTGTTGTGTTTTAGCTCTGTTTAAACGTTTCTTCCCCTCAGTGCCCTCTCTTGCTCTTGCTCTGGCCAGGCCACTGGACAGTCTTTAATCTCCTTCTTTTTCTCCAAGGGGATTCTGCTGTAAAAAGCAAGAGTGAGCAGATTCCACATGGGTTCAGAAAAACCAATTGGCATTGGGGTAACATCAGCTTTTTTCTAAAATGTTTCTCATTTTCAGTTCTGTTAGCCTAGCCAGTGTTGCTCTGTAAAATGTGTTTGCCATGTACAAGTAAATGCCCCTAACGCCACTTTTGGGTGGTCGTTTGTAAAGCCTCATTTGAGGGAGATGGGAAGTGTGGTCCAGGGTCAGCTGTTCTCAGAATAGGGCCCTTAGCGTGCCACTGTTATTTTGTCTTTTCTGTATCAATATTTCTGCTGTTTCTGTCCTGTTGTTTTCCTCTATGCTTTTCTTCTGTTTTATGTTAACAGATATGCATAAGCTCACATTTTGTTTCTGTTGCACAAAGCTGGTAGAGCAATTACACATTGTTTTATTTTGCAGATCCTCAGTTTGTGGTGTACCAGCTGAAGGTGAAAATCCACACGTCTAACCCAGCGCACACAAGGCGAGAGGAGAAGTACATGTACTTTGATTTTCCACAGCCACTGCCTGTGTGTGGAGACATCAAGGTGGAGTTCTTCCACAAGCAGAACAAGATGATGAAAAAGGTACGTGTCAGTTCCCAAACAGCCCATAGCGCTTTTACAGATCATTATTGCTGCATCTAGTAGTAAATGTTAGTGCTGTGATCGATATGACGATGTATCGTCACAGAGATTTGACGATATGAGTATCTATACAGCTGGCCCTGTATCAATATTGTGGCACGTGTGCAGCAGTGGACCGCGCTTAATTTGAATAAAAGAACGCCGTTTAAAATTGAGTAGAAAAGTGCGAGGTTTCTAAAAAATAAAGAATAGAGCATAATATATAGTCTACAAGGATTAATCCGGACAGAGGAACACAACTGGGTTGCCTGATATAAAGAGACGTAATCCCCAAAACAGAGCTTCACACTTGCGCAAAACGGAAATATCTGCTAAGTGTGCTACTTATCTTTGTCAACCTGGCAACTATGTGCACGCGCTCTCTCTCCACTGTGGATAAATGCGCTTGCTTTCTGAAAACACTGGTTAGGGCAGCGCTAAAAAGTTTGTTCCTGAATGTCTGAGTGCGGCCGCAATGTGATCTGTGTGTGTGACTGAGTGTGTGTGTGAGTTTGATACAGAAGACAGCGCATTAGTTTAGAACGCTTCTAATTTTTATTTTTTAAACGTAGAGAATGTGTTAATTTGTGCAATTATAACCTACCAGCAATGTAAATATGATTTTTTTATATATTAGAATGAGTATATTACAATATAAATTTATTAGAACGAGTGCATTATTATTTATGGGCTTAAAAACAAGATGCAAACAATCAGAATATTGTACCTGATGGGGAGTGCCCATGTAAATATGAAACATATGCCATTACCTATATTGTACTGTGGTACAGTTATGGAGGCCCTTCATAATGCAGAGGTCAACTGCCTGCTCTGCCAATAGTTAGAAATGGCACTATAGTAAGCAGTGTTTAATAAACAGCTGTTTTACTAAATTCTGCTGAGGTGAAATTCAGTGCAGTCCTGTATCGTGATGCATATTGTATCGTGGCCTCTGTATTGTGATACGTATAGTATCGTGACTTTGCTGGTGATACACAGCCCTAGTAAATGTAATGTTCTAATGTAAGTTAAGAGTGAGGATTAAGATCAGTTTTTACTACAGTACTTCATGCAGTTTTTTTAGGCATGAAATTTTGTTGGGTGGTATGTCCTAAATCTTATAAAATATATATGGTATATATATATTAATATGAATTTATATCATGGTATCTGTATAGATCACAATATAGTGCTTATGCTTGAAATTCAACCCAAATGTTGTTTTAGTATATGGAATATAATGGTGCATATTATGGTTTATAAAAAATATAAATTCTTTTGATAATGTGCTCTAAATGCTACAAATGGAGTGAAATGAAAATGAATGAATACAAATTAGGTACTTAATCTCAATTTATTATAATAACTTTTATTTTGAACTTGATTGAAGCAAAAGATAAGATTATTCATAACAAATGAGTAAGTCTGGCATCAGCGCTAAAATGGCTTCTAACAGGGTTGGGCGGTATGACAAAAATCTTATCATAGGATGAGTAATTATATATCACAGTAATGGTATATCATTATGTAGTTATTTTTTTCTGGACATTGAGCTTAATGTTACATAACCATTTAGTCATTTTTATATATTCATGTGTATATATATATTTTTCCAATTATATATCGACTTAAATACTTTAATGAAAGGGTTGGGTGTAAACCAACAGCTGTAGCTGAGATTAATAATTATGTCTTTAAATCTGGCGCCAGAACAGATACTAAAAGGCTAATCTCAATGGACTAATTGTTTATATCATTGTAAACTGTCCTATTGCTCAACTCTAAACTGCTCAGTGTGGACTGTAAGGCTATTTATTACTTACTTACTTTACTTTTTACTTTAGTAATTTAGCAGACGCTTTTATCCAAAGCGACTTACAAATAAGAAAAAGTAATTAAAACTAAAAGCTAAAACTCTATAAATACAATAAATTAAATAAAACTAAAACTTAATAAAAAAAACCTATATAGACATAATAAAAAATGAATAAAATGACAACATTGCTACAACTGTAACTAAAACTAAAATAGATAACTAATACAAATCATTGTATAATTACTATTATAAACATTAACATTATGAATTTCTGAATAGCTGTTTTGAAGTAATGTGTATTGTGAATGTGATATACAAATAAAAACTTATGTTGTAAATGGAGCCTTTAGGGATGCTCATATTGACAGTTTATCCGAAAGTAAAAATTTTGACTGATTGGTTTAAAAGGCATTTTTAAAAATATAAGTGTTTTTTTTTTTTTTATTTTGCTGCACGGTGAAAGAAAAGTATCCTACATATTTGTTAACCCATGGGGAAAAATCAGCCCAGGGCAGTTAAAAGTAGCCCAGTTCCGTGGAAAAAACGCAGACTTTTCAACACTGTATCTAGGGCTGGGCGATTAAGCAAAAAATGTAAATCTCGATTTTTCCAGAATGTTTGAACGATTCTCGCTTTTTTTTTGCAACAATTTTTAACTAGTCAACTTAAAAATGTAACTACAACATGATTCAAGTTACGTTTTCTTTATTAACCCTTTAGTTAAAGAAAATTCTATTCCAAGTGCAGCACACATGAAGTTCTACAAATCACTTAAATATCTTTGCAGAAAAGATGCAAAAACTACAACTACATATTGTACAAACTTGTCTTATGCATATTATGTGTTCAGAAATAATACGTGGAAAATTATTTTAGAAAATCTCAAAAGTCAAGGTAATTCAAATTCAAAATGACTGAAGGTATAACACCAGTAGACTTTTATTAACTATAAATGTTCTTAAAAAAACAACAGCAGCTTTCAGCCTGTCACCATGATGCAAACATGAAATATCAGACATACAGTAGTAGTTCTTTACAGGTTTTTTTATTCGATTGTGCTGCTTTTCCATTGTTTTTTCTATGTAAACATGGATGTGTTTGACTGTTGCGCTCGCGTCTCTTGCAGTGTCTCATGCATGAAACGCCATTCTAAAAACACGGCGCTCAAGTTAAAAGAAGTTCACTCCCATCTTATTGCATGTTTTACCTATTCCACTTCCTGCATCGCATCTTTGTCAACACAAAAGCACATTCTGTGTGAATGGCACTTAACGCTATATTTATGGTGCAATGATGACCTACCAGCAATGTAAATATTTTAATATATTAGAATTAGTATATTACAATATAAATTTATTAGAACGAATACATTATTATTTATTGTGAATTGCAGAGCGCGTCACACGCGAGCGGTTAATCACGTGCGCCGACATGCGGTTAGATTGTTAATTTCTCTTTACTGTTGTCACCGGCATATTGTCAAAGTGTCTTAATTCTAACATTTGGTAATATTTCTATTCAAAATTGCGATTCCTCGATGTCTAAAAAATAAAATCATGGCAAAACAATAAATTCGAATTAATCGATAAAATCGGGGAAATCGCTCAGCCCTACCTGCATCCAACACAAGTTTGACTGATCACGGGTCGAGAGTAAGGAGAGATGACTGACAGACCATGCTGGAGAATTTGCTGCTCAACAGATCCTGAGCTCTCTGACAAATATCTGATCTTGTGTGATGTGCTCCCTTTACACAGAGTGCAGAGCTCTACTCCAGACACAGCACGTCGACATGTTACTTTAAAAAAACAAAAAAAAACTAGACACATTGTGCACTGATGTAGGCCTGATGTTTATTTTTATGTCTGATGGAAAAAAAAGACTGCTGGTTCTTTAAGGTGCATAGAAGGATTCGGTGTGTTTTCATTTTGCCGTCATAATTTAATTATTTAAGTGAAAAATATTTAGTGTAGGCCTATTTATTTTATCTTTTTATTTAGCCGTGTTGTTTTATTCTGTTTTTCTCTGTTCTCAGAAGTGCTGCAGGTGCGTGATAATTTGACGATGTGTGAATCCAGGTTCTGTTGTTGCTCTGTTCTGTATGCTGCTGTGTGCACGTTAAAGTAAACCCCTGAAAAATGTTTTTTATTTTTAATGGGTCACACACTTGCCATTGTGTTTTTATTTAATGCTAATTTATTATCTTCACAAAAACAGTGGAGGAACCATCCAACTCAGAGGCCAGCACTTCTACATCTGTAACCCCGGATGTTAGCGATAATGAACCGGACCACTACCGGTATTCGGACACAACAGACTCGGACCCTGAAAATGAACAGTAAAATGTTTTTTATTTTTAATGGGTCACACACTTGCCATTGTGTTTTTATTTAATGCTAATTTATTATTATAATCTTATCAGTTAACGGTTAATGTTTGGATAACGAGCAGCGGTTGTCGGTCGGGAAAATGAACCAAACCATGATGTTTTTCTTTCATATTACACTCCTCATTCTTAGCTTTTATTTATTTTGTTTTTGTTAACCAGGATAAGATGTTTCACTTCTGGGTGAACACCTTCTTCATCCCTGGACCAGAGGAAAGCTTGGAGAAGGTTGAAAACGGAGTGTAATAGAGTTGTATAAAGGAGAAAACTTGAATATGAACTGAAAGCAAGTACTTTTTTCCACCCCGTTTTTTTTTCTTTTCTTTTTTCCCCAAGCAGAATTAGGACACGCGTCACACATATGCCACCAGTTGTAGGGACAAAAATGCTGACCAATTTTTCTTTTGTTCATTCACCCCGCTCCATGAAGTATCAACACTGATGTTCCGTGGAAAACAGCGTCAGTAGCTATTATGTAAATACATGTTCATGCCGTAACACAAGAAAGGAAACCCAGTCAGGATGGGAGATCGTTTATGGGAGAAATTCAGTGGAGTTCTTCATCCCTGGACCAGAGGAGAGCTCAGAGAAGGTTGAAAATGGAGGTTTAGTGAAGGAACTGGATGGGAACCAAACCACAGAACATGGAGAGAATGATAAGGATTATCTAATCCTGACTTTAACCAAGAACAACTTGGATAAAGCCAATAAGGATAAAGCCAACAGATACTTCTCTCCAAACTTCAAGGTTATTATGTAAATACATGTTCATGCCGTAACACAAGAAAGGAAACCCAGTCAGGATGGGAGATCGTTTATGGGAGAAATTCAGTGGAGATCGTAATTCGCTGCTCCATCAACCTGTTGAAACCTAGGCCAGTGCTTTAATCAGCATTCATGCCCCCATGTCTGTCCTTCTCTAGTCTGTCCTACCTACTGTGAAATGCTTCTCATGCTGCTGGAAGGCCGCCACGTGTCAGTCGGGCTCTGTTGTGCGTAGCTAGCCATTTTTCAGTCTGCTTTCATCATTACCCCTACTAGAACGGAGGTGGTAATGATTCTACTAAACTACATTACACCTCGGCAGAAAACACAACATATAGCTCCACCATGTATTATTATTATTATTTTTTAATGCAAATATACACAACACAACAGGGAAACCAGTGTTGCAATAATGTTGATCGAAGGTGTGCATGTTATTGGAATCATTTTCCATGTTCCAAATAAATAGTATACAATGTTTTTCTAAAAAAAAAAAAGTTTATAAAGTCATTTACAATTTGATTGTATTTGGGAAGAAGATCTTGCATCACTCTTTCTTCTGCAGATGGGACTTTAATATATAAACAGTCATTCAGTGACACTTCATTTATATAATTCATAAGTTTCCCTTTCAAAATTGGCACTTGTTTAAATCAGCTTTCACAGGATGATTTGTTTTCTGTTTCACTTCTTTAAAGGTCATGGTTTGAGCTCAAGGTAGCATCAGTCGTAAAATTCTTCAGTATGTTCTGGGATACGGATCAATCTAGCTTGAAGGCTCTGTGGTTCACTACAGCGAGCACAGGTCAGATCGGGTTTGATGGTGTACAGCATCTCGTGTAATGCTTGTCAACATGGAGAAGCCCTTTTCTGAATGTATCAACCTTGGATGCAAGTTTTGATTAGATTTCAACAGCATTTACATTGTTTTTCTTTATTCCTGGCTGTGTCAGACATCAGATCTTTGGCTCCCTATAACATGTTTGTAGCCTTATCGTGCATGATCTAATGAAATCTGGATCATTTATCCAGCAATGGTGCTTGCTAAACTGTAAGCTCTCAATGTATAGTGCAGTCATTTTGGAGCAAAGAACCTCATGGTGCAAGCATTCAAACGCACTGCAGTGCGTGTCGTAACTGTTAGTCGCACTTTGATGTGCATAATCAATTAGTTTCCAACAATTTGATGTCCCTCACTAGCTAGAGTTCATTTTTTTTTCTTATTCTTGAACAGGCCTCGTTCCCTTTGGAATGAGCATAGTGCAGCTACACAGATTTTACACAGTCTTGTGCTTGCTTCAGAAATATTAAAGCCCTATATATGAGAATATTTAAATGTATAATTTTCTTTTAAGCATGCCAAATCTTTTTTTAACATCTGGCTGTGGCCAGACCAAAAAATAAAAAAAAAATAAAACTTTCTCAGTCTCTTGGGCAAGAATCTTCACTAAGGGTAGTGAGTAAGCTGCCTTTCTCGTACTGTTAACGTTCAGGCTTCACTCTTCTCACCAGCCCACTGCACACACCGTACATCTCGCCTTCCTTTAGAGAAAGAATACATTTCCCTGACATGGAGGAGACTGGGCCTTCCTTTATGAGATTGTACACTAACCAATCCAGGAATAAAAGCAAAAGCCTATCAAGGATTCTCATTTTGTTTACATTTTATCACATCACTGAAAACCTGCCAAAATTAAGCTTATTAGTTTTTGTTTTATTGTTTTTGTGTTCAGAGGAGGAGGCGGGGCCCACGGGAGGTATTCTTTGCCTTACTTGAAGTTGACAATGCTTACTCTTCTACTGCTTTGATACCTACCATTCTGCCCAAGCACTGACTTATTTAAAGCTACTATAATAGAGCAACATATTGTACTAGACATTTGCACTGTTACAGGTCTTTGCAGGGTTTCAGTCAGCGGTCCACAGTGTTTATTTTTGTTCTTTTATTTTGTCAGGTTTTTTTTGTTTTTTTTCTGGAAATGCTTTACAGCAATCAATAGTAGTAGAATAGAGGTGAAATGAAAAGACATTAATATTGTCTCTGTGCATCCCAATAGAATCAAATGTGTTTTTATTGACTGATTTTTTTTGTTGTAAAAGAAAACCCAAAATAGAAAAAAAAAAAGTGTTCATTCACATTCATTCACAAGACCCTCTGCAGGTATTGACTCTACCGAAATGTCACATGATGAACTTAAATGTAAAGAATTCAAATCAAGTATTCTGTGATCATTTACTCACCCTCGTGTCTTTCTAAACCTGTATGATCAGAAAAGAAGATATTTTGGAGAATGTTTCAGCTGTTTTTGTCCACACAATGATAGTCAGTTAGGTTCCCCTATTCATGGACAACAGAAATAGAAGAACGTTTGTCATACAGGTTTGGAACGACTCTGTAAAAATGATTTTAAATTATCTGAGAATATTTGGCAAGAAAATACTATTTCAGTCTTTATGCTTAATTTCAAATTTACTTCATTGTGTTGCATGTTGTTTTGCTAGAGTTAAAATGGTTTCACAAGATTTTTTTTAGCGCACAAGGGTGAGTAAATGATGAATGTTCATTTTTAGGTGAACTTTTCTTTTATTCCTCAGATCGTCTCTGCGACATGAGACACATCCCTTGACATTTTGACAATTTAGCCACAGTACCTTTATACGCAGACCCTCAGACATCTTGTACGTGGCACGGGTGTGTGGAGCTCACAGGCAGCATGAAAAAATTATTTTCAGCTTTAATGAAAAACAAAATGTCATCAAAGGTGCCAGTGTATATGTTTCACATCACACTTTCTTAGCTGATTTGTGCAATATGTTATGATGCCTGTGATTGCCACAAAGTGCCTCTCGTTTATAGTTAAAAAAAAAAAAAAAGTCGCTTTAAAAACTGTCGTAGGACATCATGTCAAGCAAGCGGATAGATGGGGTGGTACTGTGCACTAAATCGTCTAGCTAGACTTGCAGCAGGGGGCCCTTTGGACTTCAGCCATGCTCCATTAGAAATCATTCTTCTCCCCAGAGGGTTTTTACGTTCATGTAATGTAAATGCCGTATATTTTAAGAAAACCGCCTTACTCCGTTTCAGCCTGTTCAGATACTATCGTGCTGTGCAACAGTTGCTCTGTGTGTAATGCCTATGCACTGAGAATACACAAACCAACCATGTATGAAATATTGTACAGGTAATCATGTTGCTCATACAAATCACATGTTTGTTTGTAATTGTATGTGTAAACTGCCCTTTATCTTAGTGTTATAAACTCCACATACATCCAATAAAGTCTCAATCTTGTCAGTTTGTTGTTTTTGACAGCATTCGATATTTGTGAATCTGAATTCGTAGTTGCATGGCATTTAAATATTTTTTTTTTTCCCCAGCATTTCTTGATTACCGCAAACAATTATTTGGACTCCCTCATTCTCAAGGTTACGAGAAGCAAAAATCAAGGTTAGGTTGAACTTGCAATGTATTCTTCAAATTCTTATGTGTATTGTTTGAGTTTTAAAGCTTTTAAGTCCTTTGTTTGTGTCATTACAGTTGTGAAATTGCATTTCACAAGTTTAGTAAGTGATTGTTTCACACTAAAATCATGTTATCATATTGCTTATGTCTTGTGTTTATACTATAGAAACTGTGTTTATTTTTACACTTACAAGTTGGCCCCTTTCATTTCCACTGTAAGTGTCTCAATGCAACCCAGATTTTTTTTTTTTTAAAGAAGAGTCTAAATTAATCGTGGTCATCAAAATTTTTTTTATAATAGCTGTCAATTCAGTAAACGTATTTAACTTGGAATATTCCATCAAGGAGCCCTAAATTGAAGTTGTAATGTGCATATTCATGAACACAAATCATCAGTATTTGAATACTTGTATACTCATTACTGAAATGAAATGATTGTCTCACTCATATGTGACCCTGGACCACAAAACCAGTCATAAGGGTCAATTTTTCGGAATTGAGATTTATACATGATCTGAAAGCTGAATAAACGAGCTTTCCATTGATGTATGGTTTGTTAAGATAGGACAATATTTGGCCGAGATACAACTATTTGAAAATCTGGAATCTGAGGGTGCAAAAAATTCAAAATATTGAGAAAATCGCCTTTAAAGTTGTCCAAATGAAGTTCTTGGCAATGCATATTACTAATCAAAAATTAAGTTTTATTATATTTACAGTAGGAAATTTACAAAATATCTTCATGGAACATGATCTTTACTTAATATCCTAATGATTTTTGGCATAAAAGAAAAATCAATAATTTTGACCCATACAATGTATTTTTGGCTATTGCTACAAATATACCCCAGCGACTTAAGACTGGTTTTGTGCTCCAGGGTCACATATGAAAATACTATTGGGTAATCTAGTCTTGCTTTTTCTGGCCAAATGCATCAGTATGATGACTGTTTTACTTGAGTAGGCTACATGGTTTTTGTTGCCAGCTGCCCATTACAGCTCTACTACTGGCTGAACTCATGACTTCAGTCTCATGCTGAAGGTGCTTTTCATGTCAGCTGAGAAAAAATTCAGGAAAACGAATGTAGTTCTGTTTTTTCCCCCCCTTTCTCTCTTTAACGTCTCTAAAACTGCTCTTGGGGACTATTTAGATTTTCTCGACAGAATGAAGAAATATTTATAACCTTCTGTAAATAAACGGCCTTATGGGAGACAACTTTGTGCCCAGAAAATAAACTTGATTTTAAATATATCTCTATTAGGTTTAAAAAGAGATCCAAGTAAAAACCCCAAACTGCACTTTGTGTCTGGAGCCTGACTAAAGATCTGTTAATGACCTCTGATTTACCCTACTGCCCTGTTATCTATAAATAAAGGCCTCACTGTCAGATCTAGAAGCCATAGAGGCGCTGCTTATATAACCTGCGTGCGTGAATCTCTCTCATTTCAAAGAGAAATTGTCTCTTTAACTTCTCTAAAACTGCTCTTGTAGACTATTTAGATTTTCTCAACAGAATGAGGAAATATTTATA